CATCTTTGAAAAGTAATTGAAAAAGCAATCACATCACTAAAAAGGATATGCAATGGAGTACGTTTTATATAAAATTAATATATAAAATTTGCAAGTCTATAAGTTTGGAAATAATAGTTTAGACTCACCATAGTATTTTTTTCAACTTAAAAAACAATATTTTTCAACGTTTTGGGTACTAAAACGCTTATTTCCCCAATTTTGTTTTCGAACCTAAATTAAAAAACGTTTATTAAATTCATTCAAAATTTAGCTAGGTTTTTATTTTTTAATTTTTCCAACTGACCAATCCGTCAACCACGGTTTTTGCCCTTCATCATCAATTTTTTCATCTTTGAAAAAGTAATTGAAAAAGCAATCACATCACTAAAAAGGATATGCAATGGAGTACGTTTTATATAAAATTAATATATAAAATTTGCAAGTCTATAAGTTTGGAAATAATAGTTTAGACTCACCATAGTATTTTTTTCAACTTAAAAAACAATATTTTTCAACGTTTTGGGTACTAAAACGCTTATTTCCCCAATTTTGTTTTCGAACCTAAATTAAAAAACGTTTATTAAATTCATTCAAAATTTCGCTAGGTTTTTATATTTTAATTTTTCCACCTGGCCATCCGTCAAACACGGTTTTTGCCTTTCATCATCAATTTTTTCATCTTTTAAAAAATAATTGAAAAAGTTTAGTACAAGTTTAGTATTGATCGCATCTCATTGGAAATTTAACAAATTTAACGTTTTCAACGGATTTATCCAAAACCTTTTAGTTTTGACATTAACATTGTATATTTGAAGCAAGGTGATATATTAAAAAATCTGTCAAGGGTAAAAACTCCGAAACTGTTGAGATTCGGACCATGTTAATTGGGACTTTTTGATTTCATTTTGAATGTAGAATATACTGGAAAAATTTGTAATGCGAGTAGTTTAACACTTTGTATATGTTTTACAATTTTCGAAGGTCCTGACTTTTTGCTTTGTTTATTATATTGTTTTTTTTGTTCACAATATTTACATGAAAAGTAAATAACAAATAATATGTGTAATTACCTGGTGAAATGCAGCCAAGAAGTTCAATTCGGAGACAGACCGTCCGACGATGTACGCTGTAAGGGAGGACCCTAATCTGACTAGCAAAAACAGGAGGCATTATCCTATGACTGACGACTGTCGCCGTATCGCTGTTTCCACTTAGGATCTAAAACAAAAAGAAAGTGTGAAAGAAAGTGGCTACCTATTTTGATATTTTTATTAAAGGGAAAATTCAAACAGGTGACATAATAAAACTTTTTGCAATGGCTTAGGTATTTGCGAGGGTAATACCGCCATATCGGGTTATGTTGATATTTTCCAGGATAAAACGATAATAACAGGGAAGCCACGACGAGCTATGCCAGGGACAACCCTTCTCCCCAATAACCCGGATTCCGAACAAGAACCAAGAAGTGATTAATTTGTGATAAAATATCTTCAGTTATCGGTATTTCCTACTACCCGTAGTCCAATCATCGATCTCGTGTAATAATTTGTTTTATGCTAGACCCTTGATTTAAATTAACACCATTTTCTCCCTAGGCCGATTTTTTTTCATGAAACGCATATAAAATTTATATATTCACGTAACCAACTTTATAAATATCATCGTTATTATTTTCAAGTTTTATTTAATTTGAAGAGGATTAAATTTTTCAGATAAAAGTGACAAATTTGGTCTGAATCCAATTTTTTAATAACTTTTAATTGACTTGGCAATATAAAAGATTTAATTTTGGCGCAAGACAAGTTGCCGTAATAATAATATATTATATAAAAAATTCATCCTGCGTATGTTTCTGCTCACGAAATAATAAAATTAGCCGGTCGATTAACTTGAAATTTTGAGAGAAATTTGCATACAAACAGTGACATGGATGGTTCTTAGACGACCATATGAAAATTAGTATAAAAATGAAAAATACTTAAAATTAATTTTTAAAACCAATAATTATTCTAGTAATTTAATAATTTTCATATGGTCTTATACGAGCTCAATTATTTTCTATATTACAAAAATGGTGAAATGAAAGAAGAGTATTACATTTTTATATTTAATTTTTTCGACAATTTAATTCTCTCTAATGTCAATATTTCATAGTAACTATTTTAATTACGAATTCGCAGTTATTTTACTTCAAATTAACTTTTAAAAAAATTTTAAATTATAAAATAAGCCTTTTTTTATTCTGTCCTACTGGTAGCTTGCGTGTACATCAGGGCTTTGTCAAGTGTAGACAAAATAACATGAATAACAAAAACATGCACAAAAACATAAATAAATAAAACAGTTGTCTGGTTAGCAATCACTCTGCCCTAAATTACTCGATATTCCTCGTGGTAGGTGGCGATAAACCCTGCCATTCACGCTAATAAATAAATTCACTAATTTCGTGGTCCGCTTGACTAATTAATATATTACAATTAATTAAGGTTTTTAGTTGAGATAAAAAAGTCAATGGCACGAGCGGGATTCGAATCCACGATCTTCGGCTAGATACGCCGCTGCTCTACCACTTGAGCTATCGTGACCTCGATCCACTCGGACACTAACTTCCCATCTCAACCCCACTTCGAACTTCGAATCCCGCTCGTGCCATTGACTTTTTTATCTCAACTAAAAGCCTTAATTAATTCTAATAAATAAGATTCAACGGGTTTTCACGCTATCTCCTAGTACTCGATATTCCTACGGGGAATTTGGGTTAAAATGTGCCATTCACGCTAATAAATGAATTCGTCCCAATAAACCACACACATGACAAAAATAATCAAATGAAAACGAGAATATTTTATTTTTACATATATTTTTTATATAGGTATAGTTTTATTCTTAATTATAATTAAATTATTCTTAATTAAATCCAATTTTTTCTACTGAAATCAAGAAAAGTTAAAGAATATTATGAATCATTTATATTTTATTGTTTCAGTAAGCTTTAATTTTAATAGTAGTTAAATTTTATGTCATTTTCTTGGTGCCTGATTATATCATAGTCAGACAAACCTCTCACTTTTACAAAAAAATTCTTTCACATTCTTATATGTTATACCATTTACTATTGTTTTCAACTTCTTTTAATAAATGGTTAATGAGAAAAGAAAAAGGTGTAATTTAACATTACAAAGTATTAACGTATATAAATATAGTAAGTATAAACGACAATCAATCACAGTGCCCCAGATTATTCGATATTTCTCGAGGTAGACCATAAACTCTGCCATTCTCGCTAATACATAACATTCACAGGGTCACTACCTCATAGTACTCGATATTTCTCGTGGTAATTTAGGAAAAGCCCTGCCATTTACACTAATGAATAACATTCACCCTACCCCATAGTACTCGATATTCCGACGGAGAATTAGGGATAAAATATGCCATTCACGCTAATAAATGAATTCGTCCCAATAAATAACACCCAAGATACAAATAGTCAAATGAAAACAAGAATTCACTAATTTCGTGGTCAGCTTGACCAATTAATATCTTTCAATTAATTAATGTTTTTGGTTGAGATAAAAAAGTCAGTGTCACAGCGGGATTCGAACCCACGATCTTCGGCTAGATACGCCGAAAAAGGAGGGAAAATAGAAAAGGTGGGGTTGAGATGGGAAGTTAGTGTCAAAGTGGATCGAGGTCACGATAGCTCAAGTGGCAGAGCAGCGGCGTATCAAGCCGAAGGTCGTGGGTTCGAATCCCGCTCGTGACACTGAATTTTTTACTCAACTAAAAACCTTAATTAATGTAAAACGAGAATCTTTTATTTTTATATATATTTTTTATAACTAGTAAGTAGTATTTGTACTGAAATAAACGAAAGTTAAAGAATAATCGTTCTTTATTATAAATCATTTATATTTTATATTTTCATTTTTTATGTAAACTTTAATTTCAATTGTAGTTAAATTTTATGTCATCATCTTGGAGCCTGATTATGCCATACGAAAACAAACCTCTCAATTATACAAAAATTTTCTTTTACGTTCTTATATTTCATACTATTTACTAATTTTTTAATGCTTTGAAGAAAGGATTCATGAGAAATTAAAGAGGAGTAATTTGAGGTTATAAATTATTAATTGAAAGTTAAAAATGGTTAATTTGACGTGAAAAAGGTTAATTTTCAATCAGAAAAGATTATTTAGTGTAAAAATAGGTTGATTTCAAACAAAAATTGGTTAATTTGACGTAAAAAAGCTATATTATAAAGTAGTATTGTGTTTAAAACATCATTACTTAGTTTTGAGTAAGTATAGGAGCTTTTACTTTTACTTCATTTTTCAAATTGTCTCAAAACCCATTTAGATTTTGAAAAGTTACCAAACTATTGGGATATTAAGACGGTATGACTAGTCGAAATTTTCACTCCTGATCTTTCTAGTTACACATATTTTAAACCTTTTGAATTTTCCCTTCTAAAGCTCTCTCGACTTGGAGTTGTTTTAATTAAAAATGTCAACTCAGGCCCATTAAATGACTTTCTCAATGTAATTTAGATAAGCACTTTTCTCTTTTAGACGAAACAACGAAAGAGCGCGGAAGCGAATGGACTGTCTTTAATTTGTTGTATTCAAGACACAAATTCAATTTTATTAAATTGTTTCGTGTTCGTAATGGAAATACGGCTCGTGAGCGAAAATTGCTCTTTCTTTTGCAATTAACACGGGCATCATTAGATGTTAAGAGGTGTTATCGGTTAACAGGCTTGAATGGATTTTCCGGTTAATTAAGACTGTTATGCTTTGTAAAATGTAATCCTACACGTTTCTTACCTTTCTATGGTAATGTTGAAAAATGGTTCTTTTTCGTTCGTCAACATTTTCAAACAATTGAACCCCGAGCTTGCTTTTTCGGATAAATATTATCCGATTTGACCAGATAAATGATAAATTTCTGTTGTTTTGATTGGATAGCAATTGTTTTACCGCTGGTGATACTTTTCGCTAAAAAAATATTTATTCTCATCTGTATAATAACACATTCTGTAATTTTATGAAATAGACTGATGAAACATTAACGCACCGCCCTTAAATTTGAATGTAATTACGTTTATTCATATTTTGCGTATCAAAAAAAGGTTTGGATGTAGAAATAAGACATTTAAAATGCAAATGTTTATGAACTAGTTCTAAAATAAATTATTGTGTAAAGAATAAAAAAACAGAAAGTTCCAAAACAAATAAAAATTGCTGTTTGGAAATCGTGAGTTGCCAGGAGGACCTCAAAGAAGCAGACTCTTCATAGCAAAATGAATTTCTACCCCTATTTTCCTCCCCACTCATTTAAAATCAAACATACATAGACAAAAAACATTAATATCTTACTAACACTCTCAAAACGATAACACAACAATGTTAAATCTACACGAAAACCCACTTTGAGTGAATACAAAATTTAACGATGCTTATAAATCCCAGGCTCTGAAGATGATGTCAAAAAAGCTGGAAACGTTGACACGATAAAGAAAGAGTTTTTCTAAACCTACATCATATCACTCTCAACACGAAAACACAACAATGACAAATCTACACAGAAACACAATTTGATTGAATACAAAATTAAACGATGCTTATAAATCCAAGGCGCTGAAGATGATCTCGAAAAAAGCTCGAAACGTTGACAGAAAAAGTTCCAAAAACAAATAAAAATGCTGTTTATATATATCGTGAGATGCGGTCTGTTGTGATGTAGATTTAAAAAAAGATTTTCTTTATCGTGCAAGTAGGATCTCAAAGAAGTAGACTCTTCGTAGAAAAATGAATTTCTACCCCTATTTTACTCCTCACTTTTTTACAATCAAACAAACATAAACAAAAAAGATTAGTATCTCACTAACACTCTCAACACGACAACACAACAATGACAAATCTACACAGAAAACACACTTTGATTGAATAGAAAATTAAACGATGCTTATAAATCCCAGGCCCTGAAGATGATCTCGAAAAAAGCTCGAAACGTTGACACAATAAAGGAAGTGATTTCCTAAACCTACGTCATATCAAAAAGTTCCAAAACAAAAAAAAATTCCTGTTTGGAGATCGCCAGTTGCGGTCTGTTGTGGTGTAGATTTGGAAAAACATTTTTTATATAATGCCAGGAGTACTTCAAAGAAGGAGACTCTTCATAGAAAAATGAATTTCTACCCCTATTTTCCTCCT